AGCACCACCCACAGGACAGACTTTAGATTTGTACCCCACACCTTTTGTATTCTGGTTTGTAACAAGGTTTATAATATCCAGGGGCCGCAAGTGGGGCTCTCTGCAAGTTTGACCCTTCAGGTCTCTCTGTTCCCCCAAAGGTCTATATAACACAGTTTGTAGTTGGCCAATAGAACAAATTCAAGTTGCAAAAGCTCAACACGGATTACTTCTTCAAAATCCACGAGTAAGTCACTGACATAAGCTGATTTTGGTCTGAAATGTTGCTGTTATAAATGTTTCTTTTTTTTTTAAGTAAGAGGTAAATATCTGCATATAATTGCAATGACTGCTGAGATCCAGCCTTCCTTTCTCCATATCTAATTCCCTATTTTTTGCTTTTATTCACGGTCTCATCGGTTGATGTCTTTTTATTCCCTTTCTTTTTCTCTCTATCCTGTCCTCCTGTACCCATTTCCATCAAAAATACCTCCCCACCACCACCTCACTGTCTACATCCCTCCTTGTTTTCTGTCAGCTGTGAAGGTTGACTGTGTCAGTGATATTAACAGCAGGCTGATGTGTTTGGTTCCACTAGAGAACACTAACGACTCCAGTAGTCAGTAGATCTCAGCTGGTGTGTCGACACACAACAGCGGACTCGTGGTTGCCTGGGAGGAGGCGTGTACATATATAGCACACAGTCTATAGAGTCCAGCAATGATAAAACTGTAGTGATTCTCAAGGGGAGAATTCAATTACTGCAACAGAACACCATGACAGATTACAGCCAGGGAGAAAATTGATTAGGGGATGGAAAGATATATATATCTCAACAAGAAACACTAATGAGGATTCCATAAAACAGAGCTGAAGTTACCAACATGTGAACAGAAAATACAGATAAAAGGTACGATCAAGGTAAACATACATAAAAAAAAGTGTAATATCAAAAAGGAAAACCACTATGGTCAAGGAATACAAGGGAGATTCTTTTTTTTAAATTTCAATTACGATTTATTTATATCGCGCTAATTAATAACAGAAGTTATCTCATTGCACTTTTAGAGCAGGTCTAGACCGTAATCTTTGTAATATCATTATCAGAGAGGGGGGGGGCTTAAACCTACTCTTAAATGTGGAGATGGTGTCTACCTCCCAAACCCACCTGGGACCTGGTTCTACGGGAGAGGAACTCGACAGCTCTGGCTCTCATTCTACTACTAATTCTAGACTCTAGGAACCACAAGTAACCCTGTATTCTGGAGCGCAGTGTAATAGGTACAATGAGCTTTTTAAGATACGATGGTGCCTGACCATTAAGGGGTCCTTATGGCTTTGAATCCAGCACAGAGAGTGCAATGAGAATTAATCAATTTATGAATCTGTTGGTCCCTGGGAAACAGCTTTATGATGCTGTAGAGCCTGACCAATAAGGCACATGCTGATACCTACATATGAAAATTCTAAAAATCTGACAAACAAGCATGTATTCCTTAAATGTAATGGGCTTTTGTTTAATTATTGTTTCTTGTTTGAATTACCTATTACATCTTAAACATCTTTAAGTTTTCTAACAACAAAACTCACGCAAAATTACAGTAGTTGTATGTGCATGAAAAGGAAAAATAAATATTGCTGTTCTATTCAATTCAATTTTATTTATATAGCACCAAATCACAACAACAGTTATCTCACAGCGCTTTTCATAAAAGAGCAGGTCTAGACCGTACTCTATGATGTTATTTACAGAAGCCCAACAGTTCCCACCAAGAGCAAGCACTAGGAGACAGAGGCAAGGAAAAACTTCCTTTTAAGAGGCAGAAACCTCGAGCAGAACCATGGCTCAGGGTGGGCGGCCATCTGCCGTCTCGACCGGTTGGGGTGAAGGAGAGAGAGAGAGAGAGAGAGAGAGAGAGAGAGAGAGAGAGAGAGAGATGGAAGGCAGCCTACACAATATACGCACAGAGGTACAGACAGTAAAGGTGATGTTGCTATAGACTGAATGAAAAATGGTACAGATATTTATAGTAGTGTTAATGATAATAATAGTAATGTTAATGATTATAATAACAATAATAACAATAAGACTAGCAACAATAGTCGTTGCAGCAGAGGGTGTTGAGCAGGAACACAGGGGCAGCAGGTGACCCGCAACCACAGATCCAGACTCCACAGCTCCAGAGCCAGAAACACCTGCAGGAAGTGATAGGAGGAGAGAGGAGAGGGACGAGAAAGCACAAGACTACCAGAAAGGGGAGAAGTTGTGTTAGTAACATGCAATAATGGGATGAGGTTGCATACAGAGGGAGAGAAAGTAGAGGAGAGAGGAGCTCAGTGCATCGTGGGAAATCCCCCGGCAGTCTAGGCCTATAGCAGCATAACTAAGGGATGGTTCAGGACTCACCTGAGCTAGCCCTAACTATAAGCTTTATCAAAGAGGAAAGTCTTAAGCCTACTCTTAAATGTGGAGATGGTGTCTGCCTCCTGAACCCAAACTGGAACCTGGTTCTACAGGAGAGGAGCTTGATAGCTGAACGCTCTGGCTCCTAGTCTACTTTTGGAGACTAGGAACCACAAGTAACCCTGCATTCTGGGAGCGCAGTGCTCTAAGGTACTATGAGCTCTTTAAGATAAGATGGTGCCTGACCATTAAGAGCTTTGTAGGTAAGAAGAATGATTTTAAATTCTATTCTGGATTTTACAGGAAGCCAATGCAAAGAAGCTAAAACAGGAGAAATGTGATCTCTTTTCCTCGTTCCTGTCAGAACACGTGCTGCAGCATTCTGGATCAGCTGAAGAGTCTTAATGGTCTTTTTCGAGCAGCCTGATAATAAGGAATTGCAGTAATCCAGCCTAGAAGTAACAAATGCATGGACTAGTTTTTCATTTTTAGACAGGATGTTCCTGATTTTCACAATATTACGTAGGTGAAAAAAGGCGGTCCTTGAAATTTGCTTAATGTGAGACTTAAACGACATGTCCTGATCAAAGATAACTCCAAGATTCCTCACAGTGGTGCTGGAGGCCAGGGGCGATGCCATCAAGGGAAACTATATCTTTGGATAATGCGTCACGGAGGTTCTGAGACCAAATGTAGTGCAATAATTTTAGATTGACTCAGCAGACATTATGACTTGTCATAGCTGGTGAAACACAGGTGCTACTCATCACATTAATGGTGTAAGCCAGCATGGAACACCGGGAGCCTGAAACTGGTAACCTAAACAAGACTGTACAGTTGAGGCTTATGTTAATTTGTAAGGCTGCAAGGACTTCTGCCATGAATATGAGTGTTGTATAACGTAATTAATGATTGTACAAACTGTAGAGCACAAACAAAGATGACATGTCGTGGATGATGACCAATAGAGGGATAAATATGTGCGATGTTGATTCTGTCACAGCAGGACCAAACTGAACCATGAACATAATAGTGGGAATACATTCTTTGTATACCTGGCAGCAGTTTAGCACAGGTCAGCCTCCACCCCACTCTTTTCTGCAGAGTTCCCACAGTACTTGATGCGGGGCTTCCAGGGCAAAGACATGCAGCTCAAGTGGATTTGAGTCTGAAAGTTCCTCTAGGTGAGAAAGTGATTGTGTTTGTGAGCTCTGTGATGGACTGGCAGGCTGTCCACACTGTTGACTTCCTTTCTGTGGCCTCCTGTGACTTCAGCTCCCAATGGACTGCACTATTGTGGACTACAAAGCAGACTCCCTGCTATGCTTCATATAACTCTGCTTCATAGTGCTGCTCCTGACCTGCTGGGGGTGTACTGGGAAAGAAAGAGCGCAGTGAAGTCAGGGGTTCTTAAATAAAAATAAAAATATCTATCAGTATGTGAATGCTATTTTGTGCACACGATTAACCTAGCAAAGAACACATTATGCTGTATTCTGTAATAATAGCCTAGTCCCAAAAAAAAGCCTGAGATGTAAAATTTTATAATGCACTAAACAAACAAATCCCATTCATATTTAGTTGATAGTCAATTTGTATTTACATCTTTTATTTAATAAATAAATAAATAAATAAACTCTATATCAAATTATTATTATTATTATTATTATTATTATTATTATTATTATTATTAGTAGTAGTAGTAGTAGTATCATATAACATGTTGAATCCTTTTTACAACATGAGTATTGTCTTCTTCTCAGGCTCCACCAATTAGAGGGGTATCAGTGAGGGAAAACCCAGATCACTAAACATTCAGAAAGAGTTTCTGCTGCTGCTCTGAGCACACATTTGTAATTTAAGGGGACAGAGATGAATTCATCAACCAATTTATCGACTCATCTCTTCTCTCATCTGGATTTTGGCAGCTGTCAAAGTTTAGAGAGATTTAAGTGAGAAAATCAAATTCAACTAAAAGTCCAAAATTATATCATTACTTTCACATAAAGTATAAAAATGGAAATTATACCCTAGCATAAATATATTTCCCCATATGCAGATGCAGACATGTTACAATCTAAGCAGGAATCTATGGTAGAGTGAGCGTCTTTTGGAACCCTTTATGTCGAGGATTCATTCAAATCTATTCCAATTTATCAAGCTGCACTTTTCCTAATAAATGGTAAATAGTTTGCATTGTTTTTTGCTCCGTTACTAGTTTGAAAGATCCAAGAGGGTGTGGGGACACCAGATCTGTGAGCCAAGGAGATCTCCAGGAATGAGGTTCCATAAGTGTAATGCAAGGATTATACTTTCCACGTTGGCGAGTACGCGAGGGTCCGCAAAAAATCGTCGTCAGATGGGGTACGAGACCAGAGGGGTTTTGTGATCGTGCTGACCTGTCCACACCAGGTCTGCGCAGCGACTAACGCTACCAGGGGACCAACTGATCTACTGCGGAACGTGTTCGCCAAGCTGACACCTGAAAGTAGTATAAACAGCAGTCGTCCGCAGGGTCTGCAGCTGTCCGTGTCCTCGTCCACTCCAGAGTATATTCAAAGGCTTTAAAGCAAACAGGGCTACTTTTAGAGTTCATTTATGTCCTCCTTTGCTCAGAATGTATCTGTGTAAAGAAACCAGCTGTAAGTGAAATACAAATCCAAAAGGGTGACACAAAGATTTATATGCCCAAATATATAGCAAGCCATGTGAATATTTATTCTTTCAAACTAATAGTTGCTAAAAGCTACTAGTAGGCCTAACTATACCCATTTTACCAGTAACAATTGAGATTGAGATTAATTAATTTTTTGTAACTTCTACTAATTATTCCATTCTTACTTCCAACAATTAAAATGTTACTATCATCAAGCCATTTACCAAGTCATTAATGAATGTAGTCACCTAAGAAAATTTACTAGTAAGAATTCAAATGTTACTAGTATCTTTTGGAATGGTTACTAGTAACTGATGAATAGGTACTAGTATATAAATCAGTGGTTGGCAATAGGTGGCCCGGGGCCAAAGCTGGCGCGCCAGCAATAATATCTGGTCCCTGGTCAGATTACTTTGATAGCAGCAAAAAGAATTATTGAGTGTGCCTACAAAATTTCAGCAGCATTACTTTATGTCGTATTTAATTGAGAGCTTCCACTCTGAAAAGTTCTAAAGGAAATTCAAAAGATTCTCTGGCTTGCTTGACACACCCCTGAAAAAGATTCTCCTAAACGAGAAATGCAGGAATTTCCTCTGCGTTGAAATACGCAGGACATGAAAATAAGCGTCCATTGGTTGATGTGGACCAATCGCTGGGAGGCACACACTCCTGGACATGCTTAACTCTGATGTAAATCGATTTCTTCATAATCAATTTTTTGAAAAGGTAGAAAAAATACTAGCCACACATGGGGAGTGAACACACAATCCCTTCTGTAGGCCTGTGCAGTACTGACTGACCTAACAAGGCACACAGTAAATAATCAATTGAATATGTTCTGGCCCGCCATCTTTTGAAAAAATTTGGCCCGATGCCAGACGTGTTTACCAACCCGTGATCTAGTAAGTAACTAACGAATAGGTGATATCTGAACTGCACCATTGATTTCAATGAAGAAAATGTAATGTAATGCAACTAGTGACTAGTAAATAAAAAATAGTTACCAGTAGCTAATGGAATAGTTACTAGTAACTAACTAAAAGTACTAGTAGCTTTTTAAATAGCAACTATTAAGTTTTAAGGAATAAATGTTAAAATGGCTTTTGCCAGACAGACATTTGCAACTACAACCACAAGGTCTGGAAAAAAAACCCATGTAGGATCTAACTTCTACACTAACAAAGGGAGGTTTATGATTCCAGAGAAGAGATTTTGCTAGAATCTGTTGGTATTTAGTTTGTTTGTTTTTTACAGCTGAGCATTTTTTTTTCACACTGCTTAACATCTGGAGCAGAGAAATGAGGACATTTTCACATCTGGTTTAAATAAGTTTTTTAAAAGGGCTGCTATCTGAAGTGATGACCTGCAGTGACCGCAGTTTGACGCTTCTTGTAAGATATCACTCTTCACATTTAGGTGCTGTAAGTGGGAGTTAAAAAGCAAGAAGCCTCAAGAGAAATTAGAAATCATTCTCATTGATGGTATTATGTTTCCCTGTAAATCAGGACTTCTTGGACATCCTGTATTGGTGCTGCTTTCTCATTTATTAACTGACAGGAGAACTGACATATTCTTCTAGGTGTTTGTGTGTGACTGTGTGCTTTGATACCATTGCAGTGTGTTTAACAGCAGATGTTGCTGTTTCATGAATAAGTGTGAGTGATTTTTGTGCTACGTTTTGTCAAAACTGCAAAGGCAGCTAGTATTTTACACACAGTGTGATTTAGTGTGTTTGTGTGTGTGTGGTGAGCATTTGAAAGCACCAAGCCCTGCAAAAATCATCTTTTCAACCCATCAGTTCCCTCCCCTACCCTCAGTCCTCTAAACTCTACTCTGCTTCTGAAGCTCATATTTTGCTTTCAGACCTCCTTTACCTTTAAAGCACCACAATCTCTACATCTCAAACCACTGATGCACCACTAAAGCCCTGTCCCCACCTGTAAAGCTCTGAATCCACCTCAAAAGTCTCTCCAACCCCTAACTCTCCACCTCTAAACTTTTTCCACTCCTTTTAAAGGTAAAGTCAGATTTTCCTAGTTGTTGCCATGAATAAGACAATGCCTTACTCACACTGGTGAACTATGAAAATAAAACCCAGGTGGTATAAAAAGCCGGAGATTACTTTTAAGCATCTTTTTCTTCTTCTAAGCCTCCTGTATCTCTAGTCCGTGTCCTCTGTCCCAGTCATCTGCCTCAGCTTCCGGACCTTCTGCCCGTACCCCATAGTTTTGTCGTAGGTTGGTTTTTAGCTTCTTCGAAACTTTCTGTAACCCTTCCTCTGGCCTCACCAAAACAATCACCATCTCCATCAAATCAACATAACCAAAGTACAGACACTACTGGCCTGTTTAAAGTAGTCAGGAACACAGCCAGTAACATGAGGGCTGTTACTTACATACTTGAATGGAATCTAGGGCCACTTGTAGGTCTTTCTAGGTCTTTACATCACTAAGTTATCTCCTGCATTTTCTCCTGATCAATCTACTGACTATCATGGAGTGTCTTATTCTTCACTCATTTCTTATTCTCGTATTCTTTCACATGTTTTCAAATGGTAAATCACATAATTTTTAGATACAAAATGTTATTATGTAATCTACAGACAAATTAGTCTGAAAGACATCATGCTGTTTCTTATCTTGTGTACGATTCTCGTTAATGATAAAAATATCTGATTCTAAATATGATCAGGATTATTATTTATTATTTATTATTAACTAGCGGATTGATGGCATAGATGGCTAACTACCCAGCAGCCTTGCTGACTTATTGAGTAATTGAGTGCATTAGTGAAAGCATGAGCACTCACTGAGTTGTAGATGATGTGTAGATGGACAGCTTACTGACTGTCCTAAACTCAAACTCTTCTTCTTTCTCTTTCCCTCTGCCTCCCATTCCACCCATTCATAGTCATTTCATCCCACTTTTCCAATTCCAAAACAGATTTGTATGCAGAGACTTGAGATTTGAAGCCACAAGTTTTGTTTTTTGTTTACCCACAGGTCTGTGTCTCTGACATTAAAGAGATAATAATATTAAGATAATAATTATTGCCTCTCTCTGTCTTTTTAGGACCAGTAGCAGTGATTAGCGGTGAAGAAGATTCTGCCAGCCCCCTTCATCATGTGAACCATGGTATTATCAGCCCCTGTACGCTGGATGCCGGGCCAGACGCTGTGGTGATTGGAATGACCAGGATCCCTGTCATAGAGAACCCCCAGTACTTTAGACATGGACACAACTGTAACAAACCCACAACCTGTAAGTACAGACGTTGTCAGCACAGTAAAGCCTACAGTAAGCACACTTTCACACCTGTTTGGTTCATCACACCTTTGTGTTGGCTTGTGTTGAACATTGTCATTCAAACTCTGGTACTGCCTGAACAACAAGACCAAGACCTCTTCTCGATCCGCTCTCGACCGATTTCTGGGGCAATTTGTTTGTGGTGCAAAATTGAACTAACCACAAAATTCTGCTTAGTTTTAAATGCTATTAAACTTGGAAACAATTTGTATTGGGAACCATCTACAAATTGTGGGAACTGCCAAAGAGGTGATTTGCTAGATCGAATGCCTGTCAACATGGAGCAAAGCAGAAAGTGCAGAAAGTGAGCTGTTTTTGTCCTACTGTCCTGCATTTTGTCAGTTCCTCATTACAAACGAGTCAAATGTAGGAAGTAGAGCCCGACCGATATTATCGACCAGCCAATATTATTGGCCGCGATGAGCTAATTGCATTTAGTTGGCATTTATAGCAGATATATGACTATTGATAAAGAAACGGTGTTCCATAGCTTGCCCACCAGAGGGCGCTCTGTAACTCCTCTGTTAACAACACTACTCCAGGAAAACCACAAAAGAAAACAATCAGCTGCCCGGAGTCTACTGCAGCATGTAGAAACACGGAGAGGGCTGTGTTAGCAGTGCGTCAGGTCTTTGTCACGTTAATTACATGACTTACATAATTATATTAAAAACAGACCCAATCACTTCTCCTCTCCTGAAAACATTCATGACTTGCTAACCCTCCCGTTTTTCATTGCCCTCTCACTTCCTCCTCCCGGCTCACAGCAGTGTGTTTAATGTTACTTTATTTGGGTGTTGATAGACGTGATTGTAGATTTATTTCTGAAACGTGTACGTAACGTTACAGTACATGTACGTAACATTACAGTAGCTAACGCTGCCCGTTACTAAATTAGCCACAAAGCTATTATTCCATGTTTATCAGTGGAGAAGTACTAACATTAATGAGCTGTTAAACTAGAGTCTCTGATGTATTCTAAATATATCCGCGAGCCACCTGTCTACAGTTACAGTCGGCGTGTCTGAAATGATTAAACCAGAGCGGACATGTAAATAAACGTGAGCTGAACAAGAATCTAACACGGCTTCCTGTAGCTCCTCTTTGTGTGATGTACATGTGAAACGTTTAGTCAAGAGACATACCAGCTCTGTTTATAGTTTTAGTTAAATTAAATTTCCAAAGTTGCAGGTCATCGTTTTCAACATCTAAATATCGGCTCATAAATAAGCTCTTTTCCACTTTAATATCGGCATCAGCCACCCAAAACCCATATCGGTCGGGCTCTAGTAAGAAGGAAGACATTCTTTCTTAATCCCTCTGGAGGAACTTTCATATTTTAACAGGACCTGTACACATGCATTAATGTATGGAGAGATGTCAGAGTGAGGGGACGGCCTCATAGGATGGTGCCCTGTGCAGTTAGGAGTCTGGTACCTTGCTCAAAGGCAACTCGGCCGTGCCCAAGAAGTGGACTGGCATCTCTCCAGCTACCAGTGCACATTATGTATTGACTGGTCCAAACTGGACCTGAATCGGAGAGACGACAGTTCCCAAGCAATGGACTGAGCTACTACCCCCCCACTAAGACAAGGCATGTTGTTTTTGTCCTGTTTCTGCCTGTTCTCTGTTATGTATGAGTCATATTACTGCCAACATCCATAAAGGCAAAACATTTTTCAGTGAATTAAATAATATTGAAAAACAAAAAACCCTCTAGTGAGTTGCTTCCCCAACCCATCCTCAGCAACCCTGGTACCAGAGAAGCAATTTAAGAAGAAAGGCAGAAGACATATACAGTACAGTAAATCCAGGCATCAACACAGCAAGGGGACAATGCATGTGCTATAACATTGGCCGTTCCTGTAATATTAAAATTGCCAAGGCTGTAAACCTGCAATAACAAAGTCTCAGATAGCAGAAACACGACAAGGTTGTGGTCCGTGTAGACTGCTAAACCTGATTTCACTTACACGTCAGCCTGTTGTAGCACACATATGAGGTCCAATTGCAGTCTCAACTAATAAGCAGTTCTTTCTTCATGAGCTCCAAATAAAATGAACACAAAATCTGCTGCCAGCAACTGAAATAAACCATGCTTTGGTTTCTCTCATAATAATCACCAAGCTTTCAAAAATGTTTGTTCACTCAACAACAGCGCTGTCAACTACTACTGTCACCATCAGAATAGACCATAGCATTTTAAATTCAAATAACTTTCTATGTGCAGAAAAGGTCTAAGAACTCTGCGTCTCATTGTGCAAATCAGGCAAGTGGATGTGGACTTATATTTACCTTCAACTATGATGGTGGGTAAAATGTGAAGTTTTTACTTTAACTAAAATATGTGTCACTTTACCATGAACTCCAAAAAAACTTTTGCTAACACAGCCTTTGATCCCAGCTAAGACGAACCTCATTTGTTTTGTTACCTGAAACCTTTAGCCAAGACTAAATTACTAATTGAAGGGGTTGGTTGCTGCGCTAACTCCTTCGTAGGGTTGCTGGCTGTATAGAAAAAGTTTGTCAGACTGAGACTCTGACTGGCACCCTATCTGAATACTAGCAGTCTCTACAGAATAGAGTGGTCACAGTCAGTGGATTTGTTCACAGTATCATGACAGCACCATTCTGGCCCAGAGTCAATCCATTTGAAAGTATTTGTGATGTGGGAGGAGTTATTTGGAATGAAGTAAAATTCAAGGCTGATTTATACTTGGGTCAAGTAGCCATGCTGTGGCGTGAGCACTTAAACTTGTGCGTTGACGTATGCATCATTCTGCAATTACATCACCAAAACGCTAGTTGGCGGTGGGGTTTCTATGTTCCATTTTGTGGACTTCCTCCGGCCCCTGGCTTAACTTCTAGTTAAGCCTTCCACTAATGTTTTCGTACCGAATGGATCAAATCCTGATAGTGAATTGCTTTTTAACCACAATCTACAGTAAAATATGAGCACCTTGTCATTGTAACAAATTTACAATAATTATTTTTTTAATATTCAGCAAGTTCATTTCTCGTGGGTCTCAGCCATAGTAGTTCTGTAAAAACCTCATAGGAGCTGGATGAGCTGGGGTTAGGGACCTGCCCCTCCGATGTAACATGCACATTTCTGTTTCACTCCTTCTTCTGTCTCTGTCTGTTATTCTCTCCACCCTCTCCCTGTCTCTATTGAACACAGATAGCATTCTGCAAAAGCAGCGGAGCAAATCACTTCTTGCCTTTACAGCCACATAAATCTCAACAAATCCCCTGGGCGAAAACACACACACACAAGCACACACTACTGATTCCGTTGCCAATGGCGATGCTGATCCATCACAAGAGTCACCTTGTGTGAAAATCATCAGCTATATATTTCCTGTGGTGTGTGTGTGTGTGTGTGTGTGTGTGTGTGTGTGTGTGTGTGTGTGTGTGTGTGTGTGTGTGTGTGTGTGTGTGTGAGAACTGTATTTCTTCCTTTCATGTCATGTTCATAAACCCCTCATCATCTTCATCATATGGGGTTATGGACACAAGAGTGCTTCTGTATAACTGTTATGAATTTTTTTCACTTTTTCTCATAATTTAAGTTATCTCCAAACCAGATCTTAGTCAGGTCTGGGTAATTCTAACACAGTGATGCTGTTTCTCACCGAGACACACAGCCCTCCGTTCTGTCTTATTACAGTTATACAATACACAGCCACATTTCTCTATACGAGTTCACTTTTTCAAAACTGTTCACACAGTTCTCTCAGGTCGGCACAACAGTTCGTCTCACTTTCAAAGTGCTTCAGACACACCTCAGGAAAAGTGACACCACCCTGGAATGGGCTGTAAACTCTGTGACTGGAGGGACGCCACGTCGTCCCATGCAAAACCTTCTGGATTCTGCCTGACCTGCGCTTTTTCCTCACCTGGCTCAAGTCTCTCATAGAGGTCATCAAGAAATAAAAACAAGCGCTCAGCGTCCGTTAGAAGTTTGTGCATTTTTAGGTGTGTCATTAGAAGCAGTTTGGGGTTCAATATTTTGCCAACGTACACTTTGACATGCAGACTAGAGGAACAGGGGATCAAACCGCTGATTTTTCACTTAGCAGGCAAGCTGTTTTACCTCTTGAGTCACAGCGTCTGAACCATTTGTGTAGTACTCTTTTTTTATTTCTATATAACCTAAATTTATCAATTGATGTACACGTTTCTAATTTGAGGTATCATTTTCAACAGGAGCCGCCATCTTTTGTATTTTGTAATGCCAGTAACAGCTCTTTCACATCTACCTTTACTTGGCACAATATTGGAGAAAGCGTCACATCAAATTCAGCAATGGGTTACTGTCACATTTCAATAATATCAATATATTAACGATACAGCTGAGTTTTTGCTCAATGTTTCTTCTGTTACCATGTGACTAAACCATCTCCATTTGTCATTATGTGCATAAAATGCATTAAAATCACTTCAAGTATAGTGTTACTGAAGTGACTGAAAGGTCCTTTTCTGGGGCCATTTGCTCTGCTGTCATCTCCTTCCTCAGAGCCTCTATAGCAGCTATAAGTATGCTGCTGGACGATGGGAGTCCCAGAGCTCATTATAGTCTTGCTAATTGCAACCCAGTAGCGGAACGGTCAAATCATTCAGTGAACCTTTGTGTGGGTGTGGGTGTTTGTGGGTGATGGTACAGTGAAAGATGTGTATTCCCTTGGGTGCCTTTCCTGCTGTACATGTATATATCTGCTTGAATGCGGTTTTGTATTAATTTTGATGAATGTGTGCGTGTGTGGTCCCACCCCCCACTGTGCTAAAGACATTCAGCAGTGCACACAGCACTGCCAGCTAGAATACAGTACAAGTAGTACAAGCTGAAACTGGGACGACTTTAACAGACTGTTAAAAGTTAGAGGTCAAAGAGAAAATCTTTAATCAAGAGCTGCAAGCAGTTTCCGGCTCGGTTTCATGCACACTGTGATGGGCCTAACCACATTCCCACATCAAGTGAGAGAGACTCCCACAGCAGCTCTGCCCAGACTGTATAAATACGCCGTCTGCATGTGTGAACACCCAGTGTAGTATGCACATTGTACATGTCTGCAGTTCGCTCCACTGTCTCCCCCCATCAAGTCCTTAAAGGAAATCTTTATGTTAGGTTAAAAAAAATGAGATTTGAGACAATAGTATGCTTCCAATGTTGTGTCTGCAGTTTGTGGCAAGTTTGCTGTGGAAGAACAGTGTGTGTCTGAATGGGAGCAAATATCTGGCCTACTAATGAGACTGAATTGTCATTTCATATCAGCTTCATTCATTCATTCAACCTGACGTTGTTTTCATGTTAACTGATTTCTTGATGGGAGTAGCAGGCTTTTTGTTTTATTTTGCTGCGAGTAGCAAGTGACGTACCCACCCCACCCACATCATTTTCAGTCGACTTTCAGAAGTTGCTGTAACAGTTGCCAGGAGCAGTTTGTCACAAGAATCACAGAAATATTTTAGAGTAAATTTAAGAGTTACAGCAACCAATATCTGGTGAAAAAGACTTTCCAGAAACGCTGAGCCTGTAGCAGCAGCAGATGGTTTTGGAATGATATTTTCAGCAATCACATATGGGTGCAAGTTTCGGCGATCCACAAAACTTTGCATGTAGTTTATCAAAAATAATAATGATGTCGGTCGTCCCGTTTAACACTTAATATTATTAATATTTTGGAGGGTAATTACTATTTTAATCTCTGAGGGCCACAGAGGCTTTCAGTCTGGCTGCAAAAGAAAACAACATTGCTTAGAATTTTTGCATCTGTCATGGCTTGAAGCTTCATTCCATTCTGCTAGAATCTCTGTTCACTATCTCACATACATGTCCCTCTGGGGGCTAAGGAACAGTTAACCCCGACTTTCCAAAGACCAATAGCAGCACACATTAGGAATTACTCATAAACAATTCTAAGGGCTGTGAAGCCTGAATGCCAGGGGTGACAGCACCTCCCAGCCAAAGTTTTGAATAATTTTGCAGAAATAGCTTTTTACTAGACCCATGATTCTGTTATCAATGGTTCTTCGTATTGTATCTGAACAAATATCATAACAACTCACTTTATTGGTTGCTGAGTAATGTTGGTTCTGTATGTATGAAATGTTGTGGACCTCGAGGGCTTAGTGATATTGTTAACATCAAAGTGAGTGAAGCCCTAAAGTGAAAACCCTACACTTAACTTATATAAACAGCATTATTAACCATGTTTTGGTTCTTTAAATAACAACTTTGGAAGAAGCAGCAGATAACTGAATGCATGTCTTCAACCCTTTAACACACTGCCCTATGCCTAATTTAAAAAAGATGAATTCTTTTTTTGATAGTTTTAGACCCCTGTGATGAAATTATGCTTAAGGATTTCAAGGACTTATTACTCAGCTGGGCTGCCAAACTGCTGTGTGTGTAGAGAGACACCATATTTTAGAGTTTGGTTGTATAAACTGAGGTGAATTGTACCTGGATTATTTTTAATCACAGGGTGTCTTTTTGAAAATGACCACAAACAAAAACATTTGTATAGCTACAGAATCTACTTGAGTAGACTTGAGCGTATGGTGCTTTCAGTCACTCCATGGACATCTTTCAGTGACTGAGGGAGAGCACTTTCTTAACAACCACTGAAGTGTAGAAGTTGCTCCACCAAAAAATGCCAATAAATATCATAAAATAAAAAAAAAAGCAGTAAATTGGCATGGCATAATGATGAAAACATGGTTAACATAATATTAATCTTGCATTAACTTTTATTACAGGGAAAAGTAAGAGAGGTCTAATTTGGAGTCATTGGCTGACCCTTCAATGACCTTCTGGCTCTAGTTATTTCTCACATGTAACTGTCCTTGTTAGGGAGACAACAGATGTGTTCTCTGGAAATCTTACAGGGTTGAGTCTTACAAGAATGTTTACAAGAACTCACTGGCTCCATAGATTAGAGTAAAACTCATGAATACTAACATATTCCAAAATAACGTAGCATTGGAGTCTAAATATATAGTGTACAGGAACATCTGGCATGAGTATGGGCTGGAAGTCCCAAGGTCAAAATGGAAGTCACCTCCTAAGGTAGTTGAGAATGACCAAGCTAAGATCCTGTGGGACTTCAAGATCCAGACTGACAAACTGGTGACGGCTAATCAACCAGACATCTTGTTGATCGACAAACAGCAGAAGAAGGCTGCAGTGATAGATGTGGCAATCCCAAGTGACAGAAACATCAAGAAGAAGGAACACGAGAAGCTTGAGAAATACCAAGGGCTGAAAGAGGAGCTAGAAAAGATGTGGAAAGTAAGAGCAACAAGTGGTAATCGGAGCACTGGGGGCTGTGACCCCCAAACTGGGAGAGTGGCTACAGCAGATTCCAGGTATAACATCAGAGGTCTCGGCCCAGAAGAGTGCAGTCCTTGGAACAGCTAAGATACTGCGCAGAACCCTGAAACTCCCATTCCTCTGGTAGAGGACTTGGGCTTGAGGTTGACACGTACCACCCCGCAAGGGGTGAGAGGGGGATTTTTTTTTGTCTTTTTTTTTTTTTTATAAATATAGAAGATAGATAGATAGAAAGATAGATTTATTTATCAGTTTACAACACAGGGTTGTATAATGAGATGAATTTGGATATTATTTTATGCAAATGTTATATACAAAAATTAGATACAGTAAATAGGTGGATAAATAACAAGTCAAAGAAATAAAACAATTTTACATGGTGCAGTGCTGAGGATGGGTGATGGGTTTAAGGGTCTCACAGGGGGAAGAAGCAGCTGTACGACAGGAGATACTTATTTACCTTATTTCTTTCTAGAAGGCAGATGAATTCAATTGAATTGATAAGAGGAAATCAAATCCACGGTATATTATTTGCTGAATTTTAACAGAAAACATTCAGATAAGAGACTGGGAGGCTGGTTGTCATGGAAACATATACATTACACTCCAAACACACACACACACACACTTAGATAATTCCACCATAAGATAGTGTGCATTTAAGGATATTCTTACAGTGTAGTGTTAACACACACACACACACACATTTTAGACACACTTGCTGGCACACAGGTACACAAACTGTGGCGGTGGTGGGTGTGTGTGTTATTGCTGACAGGTGACTGCCCCCTCTGCCTCTGTGTTAATGACAACATTAACCCTGGCTATTTGTAACTGCACTAATTAGCCTGCATGATACGCTCGCGCACGCACACGCACACACACGCACACACACACACACACGCACACACAGTGGCTCAGGTATATTCAGAGTACTCCTCTCCACAAATACACACTGACATGAACATGCAGTACATATCCATGCAACCGTGATTTTTCAAATAGACCGACGTACTCACACAATCACTCAGAATGATAATCACACACACACAACTGAAGTATACCCCCCTTCCAAAGCCCTCCCTTCCTTTTGGAGAAATGAGAGTGGAGGAACTGTGTTTACTGTAAACAACAGTCAGATGCTGGCAAAAAAAAGACTTCACAGTGGTAATTTAAAAAAATGATACAGTTTAAAGGTCAAGTCTATCAAAATGAAACCTGTCACAGACCTCTTCCACATTAAAGCCAGAAATGGTTAAAGACCGAATTATATTTTTGTAGTGTTCATTTGTTCCCAGAAACAGGTTTTATTTTTGAATGCAAGGGTTTGCATTTGAGATAACAGAGGGGTGAGTTGAGGTCAGTTACTCACAAATCAGGGTTGTCAGTGAATGTATACAATAAAACTAAATTATTCAAAACATTCAACTGCAGCATGTCTTCCCAAATACAGATTACTCCAGTGGCCTCATTTATGAAACGGACTGACGATACACAGATAAACACATCTAAGTAGTTATTTCTAAAACCTTCCTTTGACGTAGAAATGCGCTTCTCTCTAAGCAAAATGTGATAGGAATCACTCCCAAGCTATGTGTTTTGCTTTGGGTCAATCCACTATTTAGTCGACTGACTAATTCGTCCACAAAGTTAGCTTTTCTCTTTTGGTCCTTGGCTGTTCCTGACTAAACCCTCATTCGTGCTGGCATTATGTAAGGGGAAATCGCTGCTTGTAAGGCAGGTGCTGTCAATTTTAAGTTAATTTGAGATTTATAGATAGAACATGCATAAGAAAGGTTTTTTTATGCTCAGTATCTTTTATGAATCAAACATAAGCACTACGTCGGAAACATTTTTCAGGATGCCCCAGATAATTCACAACAACAGTTTCCCGTTTCTGTAGTTGAAAGTAGTCCCAATGAAAACTGTTGACAGTGAGGTTTGGAATTTAGTTGAACTGAGCCTTTAAGTGAAGTGGAATTAAAGGTAACAGGCTCCACCAAAGTGCAGACAGCTTTTTTTTTAAACGTTTTGGATGGATATTAACTCAGCCCCCTCTGTCTATGTCTTTCTCAGATGTTCAGCATATTAAACGGAGGGACATTATTTTGAAGAGGGAGCTCGGAGAAGGAGCCTTCGGCAAAGTCTTCCTAGCTGAATGTTACAACCTAAGCCCCACCAAGGACAAGATGCTGGTAGCTGTAAAGGTAAGAAATACAAGCTGTGTGTGTGTGTGTGTGTGTGTGTGTGTGTGTGAGCAGAGAGAACAGCAGTGTGTGTCAATATATCCAGAACCCTTAATGGTTTTACATGGTAAATGATGCGTCATTCAGTTTGGCCTGACTTTGACTTTTATATACTGCAAAGGAAATTCATTCAAAGAACACTCACTTCAGCTGCAGCACAAACTAGCCACTAATCAACTTCCTCACACCCACTGACACAAACCAGTTTTAGGTTCACCAGAAAGTACAAATAAAACATAAAACATGAGCGGTTAATCACAGTACAGGAGGATGGGCAGTTGGCGCTTAATAAAATGCGACATTATAATACTCACCACCAGCAGTTCCCACTGTCCGAGTTCTACAGGCATTCGGAAAAGTCCAGATTTCCCCAGATGAGGACCATGCCAATTTTGCCCGCAGGAGAGGCATGTTTCATGAATTATTAATAAAGTTTAATTAATCAGTGGAGTCCAGTGGTCCCTATAGTATACTAACTGTTCTGTAATCGAAATCCTCAGGTACTCACACCTGAGGGGTTGAAGACTTAAAAGTCAAAGTGAAGTGAACCTACGTTTTGTTAAAGGGGCAATATGTAAGTTTTTGATTTTAATAAATCAAATTTTCATTGCCTTATTATCAATGTGCTCAAAACTCACGTAGAAATGAAGCACACGCCTGTTTTCTCCGTTGCTTGAATCAGCCACTATTCTGCTTTTAATGTGAGGTATCCGGGTCGGATTCAGCCCTGTGCGCGCTCCCAAGCCTCTCTGACTACAGCGACAACACGGCAGCTAACGACATGCAGTCCACTAGCACAAAAAACAACCGGCTCCCAGAAAATGTAAGGATACAAAACAGCAATATAGGTGCTGAAGCCCATCAGACCAAACAGGTTCAGATGATGTCGAGTAAGAACACAGTGAGCATTAGTAAAGCTGGAGACACACAGAGAAAGTCACGTTAGCTCGCAGGCTAACGCCAAGCAGTTGCTAATGTTATCCGGTGCAAAGTTATATCGCTTTCCACATTAATTCACCAACTAACACCACCCATGTTACTATCCTGTGTACCACTGTTGATTTAGCCTGCAAGAAAGGATGTAACGGTAAAAAGCAAATGTGGAGCGATTTTTTTACTAACGTTAGCCTAAAGTGATGCTGCCAGGAGCAGCTAGCTAATGCTACAGTAGATCAGACCTGCCACTGTTTTCTTCGTAACGTTCAGTTTAGGTTTATTGTGGTTTTACCAATACTCAGGTATACAGCTTCTCCACCTCTCAGTCGGTGTAACTAATGTGACCCACATAACATAAAACACTGCAACATAACGGTCACAACAACACAGAGGAAGAGCCATCCTATATCACTAGTTACAGTAAAGTTACTTGCTGCGGTCTGGGCTGTTATAAAGTGTGACACAATCTCGTTATAATATTCATTCCAGCTCACTAAGCGTTTGATTATCATCCAATACATGTAGCTGTGCTGACATTGCTGAGCCTCCAGTGAAAGATTCACAGATAGTAAAGATAGTTACTGAAAAGCAGCAGGCGAGCTAACACTGTAGCACGTCGGCTAAATGCAGTAAATGTACTGTGATCATGTAACGAGCATGGATTAGTTCAGCCTGCAGCAGATAAAACTATTACTGTAACGTTGCAGTGGGAGTTTCCAGCTCTGTCTGTTCTCCCTGTCTGTCTATAGCCGCTGTCACTCTGCCTTTTTTCCGGGAGTATTGTGCTGATATGCGGCTCGCTGCGCTGAATGAAAGGTACGGCGCCAGAGTTGATCTGCCTCTGAGACGGGAACATCTAAGTAACAGAGCCTGAACCCATGGCCTGAACATGTCTGGAGAAAAGCCACATATTGTGGTATTTCTGTATGAAAGTGGTTGTGTTTCAGATTATGCTCGATCGTGAGCTCAAGCGAGCACCGTTCGAGCCGCACCACTAGTGGTCGAACAAAAAAACATGGTCTGCAAACCATCAATCCAGTTTAAGATGTTAACACTGGCATGGATAGGATTAATAACATGACATATATTGAAGACAGAGGATGTCTTGTCATTACAGCAGCAGTTATTAAACATGGCCGACACATTGACCTGCTGCAGACAGGTGTTATGTCTTATGGAGGATATGGAGGGATTTCAGCTGCAGCTTTTTTAATCCTGCAGGATTTAGTGCCCTTTGGTGCATTATCCTACTTTTGTCCTTACAACCAGCCCTTTCTGAAACACACTGCACATTACACATTGTCTCTTACACACACTGTTAACTGTCAGGATCAGTTTTCGTCAATAAGTTCAGTCAATCAATCAAGAATTTGTTTCTGCTGAATCAGAACAGCGACAGCTCTCCTTATGTTGCCTAGATAAGGTTTGTGGATGGTCCACATCTCTACAATAGTATATTTTGGTAAACATTCTGCATCTACAGCTTAACTGTTGCCCTTTGGCACATACAGTAACTGATACTGGTTGTATTGTAAAACTATTTACACCAAACTGTGTGCTTCATACTGTAAGAACAATAGACTACTATAATTATGGGAAATGCCCTTAACCTAGGTATCTAGGTTTGAATGTTCTTTGGCAATGCAGGAACCTTCTGGAGGTTAGCCAAAAGTAAGGATAAAGTTTAGTGGGTGTGTAGTGAGTCCAACTTACTGGAGAAAACAGTTTATGTCCAGTCAGAGAGCTGCTTATTTCGACATCGCAACCGAGCCGTTTATGAGGAGTGGATGAATCCTCCCTTAATTAAAACAAGGACAGACACTGCTAATTCACTACCAGACCACCAGAAGCATCCCAGTGGGACTTATGTGGCTCTACGGTAAGAACATCTAGACAGTATCTTCAAGTTACAAGGAGTCAGCACTTACCACAAATCTTAAGATATGTGCTGGTTCACTCTGGACTCACACAAAATCAGCTGTTTCTGAACACCAGACCCAAACCACCCACAGCATCCACATGGAAGAGGCCAAAAATCATCTTTAAACAGAGACAGATCTTACAAACCAGAGGTTACCAGTCTGAGCCAGGTTTGTAAAACCATTCGTACGGTAAAATAACCAACATGAAATTAAGCAGTGGGTCATACTGAAACACTCATATTACTGAGATAGAGCACTCAAATAATAAAACTTTTTAATAATGTTCTCAAACATGACTTTTTCCATAACTGTAAATCCAATCCAAATGTTGCCATCTAATATATCTGGTTTTCCCCATTTACAGCAGCTATTTGCACCATTTTTCAAGCCGTTTGAGATAACAGAATGCCTACAAATCTGTACATAATAAAAAAAAAGAAGATAACTGCCCAAAACTGCCTTTACCATTGTGAAACCAACTAATGTTAAAGATGACTCATTTGGAATCTTTGGAAGTCGTCAGTCATGTGATATTCTTCATTGCACACAATATATTTAAACAGTGTCACTGGCTGATGCTGTTGAACCACAATGGCTTTGGTTGCATGCAAGTGAACAGTTGGTGGTTACCACATAGGGTAATTCTGGTAATTCTGGTTTAACACAGTACTCATCAAGTTAAATGGTGAACCCTGGAACACAGCACTACAATGAAGTCAAGAAACATGAGCAGTCAGACAATCAGACTAATCAGGTTGCAAACAAACTCCAAATTCAATCAAACTCATGTGGAACAGAAAAAAAAAAAAAAAAGGTTGAGTGTGTAAGTTTTAGTGGCATCAAGTGGTGAGGGCTGCAAATTGCAACCAGTGGCTCACGGTGCATTTGTGAAGTTGTTCAGTGTGTGTTCATGTGCTCTTAAGTCAGAATGTGGAATTAACATGGACGCTACTACAAAGATGTGTTGGATTAGCATTATCAGAACGTATAAACAACACGCAGACAGAGACTAACATGTCAGTTTTGAATTTTTGTAATCCCTAAAAATGTCACGATCCTGTCCTGGATCCTGTCGGGGTTGTGTTATTATTTTGGCCGTGCCTTCGCATTGTTTTGATTTGGGATTCTCTGTTTCTGGGTTTTGGTTCTTGATTCCGGGGTTTAGGTTTTGTATCTTCTTGTCAGTTCTGTCATCTGTGAGTTTACTTATTTATCAGTTTGGTATCTGTTATTTAGTCTGGGTTATTATATATCTGGTTATTATTTGTCAGCTGGTATTTAGTGTTGTTTTGGTATTTTCCTTATTTCTTTCTGTTCCATGTTTAGTGTTGTACTGTTTCCGGGTTGGTCCTGTCTCTGTTCCCTACTGTTTACAGTTGGTCTATGTTTTGTGTTTTGGAGCTTTGTTTCTTGTCTTGTGTTCTCTGTTTAGCCTTGTTTATTTCATTGTTCATTTACAGGTTCTGTTTAGCTCACTTTGTACCTGTCTGTCTTGTTTCTTAGGTTTGGCCCTACATTGAGTTCTGTACCTTAGTTATGTCTTTTTAATTTGCTCCTACTTATGTGTTTGCATTATTTTGGGTGTTGTCTGCTCTTTGTTCTGTTTAATCTTAGCTTCAGTCTGTGTTCCTTGTTGGTGTTTCTTTGTGATCTCTCTGCCTGTGTCTGGATTAGTTTGTTATTTATAATTATTCTGATCTGTTACTTCTTATTTTGATATGGCCTATGTTTAGTGTTCAGTAACTTGTGTTCTGTCTGTTCCCCCTCAGTAATCTGCCTGCCTGCCTGTCTCTCTGTTTTCCCCTGCTGTCTCTCTGCCTGCCTCGTTGGCCTTGATCCCTCTCACCTGTGTTGCTCCTGCCCTGCTCGTTAGTCCCTGGTGTATATATGTTTGGGTTTTCTGTTCAGTCCCCGTCTGGTCATTGTCATATAATGAGTGTTCTGCCAGTTGCTGCACTACCAGTTCTTGCCTTGGATTAAAAACCCTGGAACTAAACCTCAGCAATTAGTGTCTTGCATTTGGGCTCTCTCCTGCTTTGCGCACGCTCTATCCTGACAAAAAAGTAATCAGCAAACCAAAATAATAATCATACCATCGTAATGTGTTAAGTAAAGTGGTTTTGCACTAAAAATGACCTTTGTTTACATACACACATCTGACAAGGACATGTAGCAGATTTGTGAATTATGAGATATATATATATATATATATATAGAGTCAACATGTTTTCTTTTAACCCTGACCACAACATTTCCCTAACTTTAACTCATTATGTTTTGTACCTAAATCTAACCATAAAGGTTATATGAATAATTTTTAGGACTGTCATTTGTAACTGCTTTGGAAAGCACTGACCCACTCTGTCAGGCTGTTGATTGGGGCACCAGATAAGACAATGCTTATCATGTACAGTTATGATTACTGTGGGACCACTAAACACACAAAGTACAAGTACAACATTTGTAACAGCTTTTGACCTCCCACTTACTAAATTATTTGCATAAATATATACATGCTTACACAGATCAATGATAAGATTGCTTCCTGAACACCTTTCAACAGCAGCAGATGGATTATTATTAGAATAGCTTTTGAAAACATGCTAAATCACATATCTGCTATCATGAACTGTACTTACCAGGCAACCAAACCGGTTAGGTGTGAAAGCACATACTCTGCATGTATTACCCAGAACCCAACTGAGCATCACATACTGTAGTATTTATTTAGGTATATAAGCTATACTTTGATATTTCTGTGACACATTAATTATGGAACTATCTACAGATAACTGTCTATATATTTTCATGTATCTTTTCATGTGACAACACAAGAAATGAAACTTTGCTACAATGTACTTGTTGAAAATTTGTTTGTTAAAACTGTTTAAATTGTCCTTAAAAATGTTAAGGACAACATTTGGCTGCTGTAGTAGCAATTATGCTCGCATGTCAGTGAGCAGTGATGAAAGCTCATTGTCATGGTAATGACATCGGAGTGAGCACATAATCTGACGACCGGCAAATACACACAGTACATACAGGTGGCTATGTGTTGGCTAGCTGTTTACTGTGTCACGTGTGCACTACTATGGGCATGCTCAATCATGCTAGCAATGCAACTCTTTCGCTCTATCTCTCTTTCCAGACACTGAAGGACCCCACTCTTGCAGCCAGGAAAGATTTCCAGCGTGAAGCTGAGTTGCTGACAAACCTCCAGCACGAGCACATAGTCAAGTTCTATGGAGTGTGTGTGGACGGAGACCCTCTCATCATGGTCTTTGAGTACATGAAGCATGGAGATCTCAATAAGTTTCTCAGGTGAGTTCAGAAGACTAACAACAGCTGGTGGAGAAGGTGTGGTGTGAGTGCATCTGCTGTAAGTGACCAGAGTGATGGCCTATAATCACCGTAGTAACCAAAATAATGTAGAATTTCATCTATCCCTACACAAAAAACTCATGCATGGAATTTTCCATTACTATTGTGGAAACCAATTTTTGTCCAGATATTATGTACCTTCACATGTACATGTTAACATGTACTTTTAAAGTGTTTAGTGATGTGGAGGCTGTTAAATACACAAATTGAATGTACTATTTGAGCGTAATGTAGTTATTTTTTTGGACAATAAAATATATAGGGTATATACCAATTCAATTTTATTTATATAGCGCCAAATCACAACAGTTATCTCACAGCGCTTTTCATAAAAGAGCTATGATGTTATTTACAGAAGCCCAACAGTTCCCACCAAGAGCAGCACTAGGCGACAGAGGCAAGGAAAAACTTCCTTTTAAGAGGCAGAAACCTCGAGCAGAACCATGACTCAGGGTGGGTGGCCATCTGCCTCGACCGGTTGGGGTAAAAGGAGAGAGAGGGAGAGAGAGAGAGAGAGAGAGAGAGAGACATCTTGTATAGAAATTTTGTTTTGTAGTTCAGCAATACAAACTCAAAAGTTATCAAACAGTGGTCGGACAAAGAGGGATTCTGTGGGAACACCACTAAATGTTCAATTTCAATACCATACACCAAAACAAGGTCGAGGGTGTGGTTAAAACAGTGAGTCGGTTCATGAACACTCTGAATCTAACAAAAGAGATAAACGCAGTACTGAAGCTGTCATTCTTAACATCCACATGAATATTAAAATCCCCTACAATAATAACTTTGTCCGTTTTAAGGACTAAAGTTGACAAAAACTCTGCAAATTCAGATAAGAATTCAGAGTACGGGCCAGGTGCTCGGTACACTATAACGAAGAGAATTGGTTGCAGTGATTTCCAACTTGGGTGCGAAAGACCAGGAACAAGGCTTTCAAATGAGTTATAGTTTGGTTTAGGTTTAGAGCTGAGCACCGCTATACCAGTGTGTAGCGCTTTCTCAGTGTCAGCATGAGATACAGCGCCCTGGGATCTTTTCAGTAATCTGCACCCTATAGTAGGCTAAAAGCAGTTGTGCTGCTTTTGACCATTTTATACTTTAGGAACATTTTATCAAAACTGTCAACTTTACATACAATGGTGCAATTTTTGTGTGTAATTTTTAACCTTTTAAACCTGAAAATCCTCTGCTTTAAATTGTGTATGTAACAGTGACAAAGAAGGTAAATCAGATGGAATGGCAGTATTTATTTACCAAAGTTTTTTAAAATAAAGATAGAAAATAATAAAATGAAATAAAGTCACCTTTTGGGTTCTAATTGACATCCCTTAAATTACCTTAACAAATCGAAACATACAACAGTCCACTTGTTTCCCCTGAAACTGTAAAACTGATATGTCAAGCTGTACCACTAAGACTACTGATGGAGACTTAACTCTGCACTAAAACACTTAAATATCACACCTCTTCCTTTCAGACTGCAGGGCATGATAGCGCATGAATTCCCCCAATGCCTGTTTGTGCATATTCGATATGTACCTAGGAACCTTTTGCAAGCCCTGCTTTCTCGTTTATGCCTGTTTGCATCATACCTACATCATACCTGAATTTATATCTTTTCTATGTTCCATAGACAAATTAACAATCTTCACTTAATTTAACATGTAAATGCTCCGTATAGCGCCTTTCTAGTCTTTTCGACCACTCAAAGCACTCTTACACTACATCTGCATTCACCATTCACTCATATTTATACACTGAGCTTAACTTCTCAAACAGAAACATACATTCATACACTGAGGACATGACTCCCGATTAACGGCCAACCCGCTTTACCTCCTGAGCCACAGTCGCCCCAACATCAGCTTGAAAGCAACTGAAAACACAAAAAAAAAATTTATTGTAAAAGAATTCAGGCGTCAAGGGGTTAAGGGAAAGCAGCCCCCCGTTGCAGGCCTGAATGCAGCTTGAGTGCACTGAATGACAATTCACAGTGGAGCAGATGACCCCTTCACTCCATGAGCAGGGTACCAATGAGTTACTCACCAATGGTGAACAGTTCAAGCGTCTCCTACTGTTTAAGGAGACAGTCTACTCTCAGTCCCAGTGATGATGATGAAGAAGAGGAGAAAACTCCTAACTCAGTCTCAGTGATAAGTAGCCTACCGGCGGAAGTTAGAACAGACTTTTAGCCAAATAACACACTTCTCATAAATGAGTCAGGCTAACCCTGGGGTCTGTACGTCTATTACTCATCTTGGTTTCTAGCTATTCGCCACTCAAACAGTTGCACACTCACACTACAGTGTCTTCTTCTCCCGCATGTCTCTTATGTTTTTCTGCTCCTCTAACTCCTCTGCCTGCTAGTCACGCCCCCTAACCAATCATACCTTTTAGAAACGCGATGTCTCTCTTGATGGACTAATCAGAAGCAGATAAATAAATGCAACAGGTTAATATGTCTCACCTCTGATTGATTAATGTACATTCCAAACAAACTATGAAAACACTGTCCCCTTAAAGGAACAGAGCCCTCTATAATAACAATGTTGGGTAATACTGCTGTGTTTAAATTAGCTCTGTAGTAAAGTAAGTAAACAAGTTGTCCTCAAAGTTGATGCGTTAGAAGCAGGAAAAATGGGAATTTGAGTGAGACTTTTGACAAATTTTGATGGCTAGACGACGGGGTCAGAGAATCTCCAAAACTGCAGCTCTAGTGGGGTGTCTGCAGGGGGTCAGTACCTATGATAAGTGGTCCAAGAAAGGACCATTTTTCCTTCACATTTTCTTCTTCACGTGGATGGTCAGGTGCGTGTGTGTAAATTACCTGCGAAACACATCGCACCAGGATGCACTATGGGAAACATGCAACCTGGTGGAGGCAGTGTGATACTTTGGGCAATGTTCTGCTGGAAAACCTTGGCATTAATTTGTATGGTACTCTGAGACGTACCACCTACCTAAGCATTGTTGGAGACCATGTACACCCTTTCATGGGAACCGTATTCCCTGATGGCAGTGGCCTCTTTCAGCAGGATAATGCGCCCTGCCACAAAGCAGCAATGGTTCAGGAATGGTTTGAGGTAGTGTTGTAGTCAAGACCGCCCAAACCAAGACTAAGTCAAGACCAAGACCAGAGTTTATCGAGACCGAGACAAGACCAAGACTTTTAGGGACTGAGACCAAGTTGAGACCAAGACCGAGGGAGACCAAGACCAGTTCCCCACATTACATGACACACAATAAAATGTGGAATAAGATCATAGGTGCTTCTCAAATTGATCTGAAAGATCCACATTCTCATTAAAACACCCACATACAAACACTAAGAGCTGAAATCAAAGTAAGCGTCTTTCTTCAACACTCCTTTTCCACGCTTACCATCGCAGGGACAGTCGTTAACGGTAACACATTTTTAATTAGGGTTATTGGTTGCATTTTAAGTTTTACATCCAATCACTGTTAGGATGTTAACAAATAAATAAGCAATTTGTTGAAATTCCCAGACAAGACCGAGTAATGTGGTCAAGTCCGAGATGAGACCAAGACCATCAAAAAGTGGTCTTAAGACCGGTCTCGAGTACTACAACACTCGTTTGGGGAACACAACGAGTTCAAGGTGTTGACTTAGCCTCCAAATTCCCCGGCTATCAAAATCATCTCGCATCTCGAGACTTTCTCAACATAGCGTTATTGCATTATAATGAAACACATGTCCACACTGGTTTTCATTTAACTTACCTACTTTTAGAGATTTAATCATGTTGAAATGGCAGCGTGATCTGTGAATCCCTCCTTGTGGTACACGCATGCATGTGCTGAAGTGAAGGTCTGACTAAAGAGCTTCATTCAGCTACCAAATAGTCAAACTCAGATATGTGCTCTTACTGGATGAACAGGGCTGGAAGACCCACAAAGCAGTAAGTAAACAAAAAGTCGTTAGTGAAGATGTAACTCTGCTTTTACAAGCATGTCAGACATGATGAGGTGCTCAGACAGGAAGACCATTACACTATCTACAGCATGACTGTTGTATCAGCATAAAGTATACCGAGGGTTTACTGAAATAATGCTGAGGTGAGCAGAGCGAGACAGTGAGAGGACACAAAGAGGGGACATTGCAAATACATCATCAAATCAACCAAAACAGAAGCCTCTGATCCAACAGACAGCAGCTGCTCATGGAGCTGTAACATAAGACAAACTGTCCATAGCATTAATTGAACATGTTGGAGGAGGGATGTAAATGTGGTATATGGTATTATGCTAGGAAAGAAAGTTGACAAAAGTAATTATAGTTGTCCTGAACATTCACGCTTGAAGTCAGAGTGAAAAGTCGGCTGTTACAGAGGGGGGGCAACACGCAGTATTGTTTAATATGGAGATAACAGCACACTCACAGTCTCTCCTGGAAGACATTTATAGGGTTATCCTGAACTGTGAGTGAAATATTTGTGTGAAGATTGAAAAATGTTGAGAGACAACTTCAAAACCTGCCTACTATCTCACCCCCGCACAGCTGACTGACCAATCACATGGCTCAGCTAAGCACTGTCACGCCATTCCTTTCTGCCATCACCCCATTGGATTCATCACAGCGCTATTAAAATCTTAAACATTATGGCACATGGGCCAGGGCCCTGTACTACAAAGCAGGATTTTTATTCCAGGTGTCTGACAACATCATGGGAAGAATCCCTATGTGTGACTCCCTGTAACATTCTTTATCTTTAACCAGAAACAGTAACAGTAGAAATTCAGGGTTGGAGAGAGGAGTCTGTTGTGTTTAAGTAGCGTTAGGAAATAAAGTTTTGCTAGCAGCTCCTGTTTGTACACAACAAACTCCTCTCCCTTATTTCCACGGTGTTTCCTGCAACAACTCACCTGCAGAAAGGGTTCTTTTGGTTGCAGTCATAGTCCGCCCCCAGTTTGGAGAA